AAATTAATTAGGCCTACGTAACCGTAATTGTGAGGGTGACAAAGACACCGAGCTACTGCTTCATATATAGAACGGATGCTTCGCTGCCAGAGAAATTCTTCGTGGTTTGGTTCAAGCTCAGTGGCGAAACCGTAATAACTTCGTATATGTGATACCGCATTGCATGGGAAGCAGGGTGAAAATCGTGTCGAGTACGTGGTCGCAGAAGTACGACCCCCCCCCCCGAAATCGAGATCCTGGCACGACCCCCAAAACAGAGCAAATTAATTCAATTAATTAATCAAAAAAATCCTGCAAAATAAATCAAAAAAAATCCTGCAAAATAATGTTATGGACGCCTCATCTTGTCATCTATGCACTGTCTTTCATCGCTGCACACTTTTGTGTATTTACTGAAATATCGACTCGAGGAAAGAGGCATTAACTTTGTGTGACCTCAAAGTCAGGTTCGTTCAGAAATCCTGAAGGCACGGGGTTGCGATTTAATCTTAATTCCTGCTTGAGTATATCGAAACAGCCGAGTGTATCAATCAACGGCCGATTCAACGGCAGCTGCGGCGCGATTGTCACTGGGTCAGATTTGCTGAAATCCCGAAAAAAACCGTCGAAATCTACACCCTCGATGAAAAGGTTGCATTCCTCCATTTCATAACCTTTGAAGCAGTTTGAGGTAGGGTTAGATAGAGCTGGATTTCGCGTTTCCAAGAAGTATTGAAATTGCTCTGGAAGCCTTCCATGCAGAAAGATAGGGTCTCAAATTTCGTCGAGTAAATGTCGAGGACCGAAATTTTCACGCGAGTTTTTGCCACTTCAAAAGCAATATCTCTCTAATGTCGTAAGGTCCTGAAAAAGGGAAGATAGTTTTGGAAAGCGGAAGGTTTGCGCTTTCTGATGGTCTTCTTAGCTTTCTTCTACATTCCCTAGTTGAGAAGATATCTGCGTCGAGTATGTATCGAGACGGATCCAGCCACCTGAAAATCCGCTCCCTCCTTCACCATTGCAATATTTGCAACACTCGGAAATGTGTCTAGAACAAAATCTTTCAACGCAAGCAATAGGAATGGGCAATCGTCATCATCCGATTTCGTATTGGTGTAAGCCATGCATTCGTGCTCCACTCACAGTTGCAGAATCGATTAAAAGGTGTTATATGATCAATGACCATGTACAGAACTCTTGCCCTGGTAGTAAAGAACCATTCCTAACTTTACAACCAAAAAGAACAACTTTATTTGCCCAGGGCTTTTCCTTCACGGTTGTCGTTTTTGCGACAGGGTCCCTAACAACAGTGTCATTCTCTAGCGAGGGCATTAAGGGAGAAGGAGCGAGCGATAGGCAGAGGAGGTGCCTTTGCAGCGCGTGCGCACATGTGGCAGTCTTCTTTGCGGGAATGCACTTTCATTCTTTGTACTGCCTTCAAATACGCCCTTCTCATGAAGGTGGAGGAATGGAGCGACTGAACCTGCAAAGAAAATTAATATCATTTTTATCATATATTTTCATTTTCTGCTGCGCTATACCCTACCTATCTTACCACGAACCAGCTGTGCTGACCGCTCAACGAGTACGACTCCCTCCAATACCGCCCAGCCCGTACAGTACGGCCGCGCCTGTCTGATTTACTCGTCGATATCACCCTGGGTAGTGTCAAAGCACATGACCTGATAAGAACAGAATGCTTCCTCACTACTGTCTCACAACTACTTTTTTTCCGGCAATCAATCAGCTCATCTGCTCAGGAGGCTATGCGGCCTGAGCAACTATTAATCAACAAAGAACCTCCGCGGTATGTTCACCTGAAGATAAGAAAATTCCAATGAAAATTTGTAATTTTGTGAGAAGGAATCGTGATATATTTGCGAATGTGTCAAAGCGTTGCCCAAACAGCACAACAGGTCATTAGAGTCAATTTGGATGGAACTATAAGACCACGCGTTACAGGCTTGTCTAGAGAAAAAACTGCAAACTTAGTAAACGGCATGCCTCACGCAATTCATTGGAATAAACTAAATTGCATTCCAATCCCACTACGATCCTGCGTAGGATAGGTGGTGCGCTTTCAATAGATATGGTCCAAGCATACGTTCTTTTTAGGCCTTACCCGTACGTTTTGGATTCTCGCTTTTCCTCAATCGTAAATCACTTGCTGAATCGCTATGATCTATATGAATCGTCCCAACGTCGGTGCACATTGTTCAACCGGACCATACGAACCATCTTCCTCAATCTCCACAACTTCTGTCTGAAAATTCAACGACAACTTTCCGTCTCGGACTGTGAGTATGCAGTTTTCTCAATGCTCGTGCCTTTTACTGAGGTCCATGGTAGTCATTTTCATACTCCAAGCAACACATGGTGATAAAGATCTAATCTACATACTATGGCTTTCTGGATGAAAAGTACAATCGAGACATTTACATTCAGAATACCCACTAAGACATCTAAAACAAAAGCAGGGAATTGCACGCAGAAGCAAATGGATTACGAGTTTGAAAGGAACAGTGATATAAGAATCTCACTGAAAATCGCGCAAAATTTCCCGTAAAGAGACTCAGCGAACAGCAACCCTCACGCAATGATGTCGGGATTGACACCATGGAAGGAGTCTGCAGACAGCTTCTCAATATCCCGGCAATGCCATCCTTTGAAAAGCAAACCCTCAGTGTACACCTAGACAGCGAGCCTGCGTGGTACGAGTGCACCAAGGAGCAATGGGTTGGCCGTGACCACGTGAGTGTGTTTTGGGAAATATGTTTTCCGGCCCATCGACCATTTGTCACATGTTTGTTACACGAATTTGTTTCGAATGTAGAAAACATTCTTTGAAGAAAATGTGAAAGAGCACGTCACTGGAAACTCAACCTCGGACTCCTCGTTTTGTATTAGGCCGGGTCAACGAGTTCTGAGTGCCAAGGATAAGGGTCCAATCAACAATGTTCTCAGTAGAACCAAGGTGAGAGTCTGCCAAGAAGTCGATATCAAAACTTCCTGCTCGTCAGTCCGGGCCGCTGCCACTTACGGGCTATCTCGCTTTGTAACTGCGTCTCAGAATCGCTCCACAGATTCAGAAGGTAGATTTGATATCACCGTACAAAAGTACTTCCAGTGGTGTATGTCTCGTTACAAATGGCCAAATGCCCATGAGTGTTCTCCTCTGTGACTCTCAGGTGTTTAGTGAACATGGCACGATTCTATTATGTTAAAGCCATGGTTCTATCACTCAGAAACCTCTGTATCTCTATAAATAACTTCTCCAGCACATATGAAAGATTTGTAATCGCGCTGGAACATATCAATGCATAACGCTTAAATTTCAAACGACAGTTTCAAGCTGACCAACGCTTCCCGCCGCCACTAAGTACAAAGGTAGTATAAAGATAAATAAATAAATAAAATATAATAAAAAAATAATCCGCAAGATGCCGCTATGCATCTATTTGCATAACGAATCCTATGGACCCTTGATTCAGTGCCCGTACAAGCAAGCGACGACCTGCGGCCCAAAAGTCTATCGCCCAGAGTTCCGACTGCTTAAATGTGGCCGCAATGAAAATTTCGATTAGTATGGGCAGGCCTCATCCGAGATTTGATCCCTACCCATGTGCAGTTTGCTACTACGTCATCTTCAAGGTCGACCACCATACACTATAAAGGTTCCATGTGAATCCGAGTTTCGTCCAACTCGTTCAGCTAATTGCGGATGATTCACCCTAGGATGAAATCTAATGCATTTATCAGCCTCCCATATAGTCGGAAGATTTAGTGGCGTAACTTCCTTATTCTTAAACCTTCACATTTTACTTAAATTCAAAATGTTCGGGTTAAAAGTGGTGAGGCACAACCCAGTACTGAACTACTGGGCCCCAAGAGTACGACCCAGTAGTTTAGTCGTACGCTGTCGAGGACCACGAGACATTCCATGTCTCCAGATTCAATGGCTTAGTACCACTTTTGTCAAAGGAAAAACACTGATTTATACATCGGACTGGCCTCCGAAATTCTACACTAGGTGTAAGTATGATTTCGAATGGAAGTAGAACGCGTGGCGCATTCCAAAAAGCGATATCAATGCCGAATGCTTTGCCCTTTATGGCGCGTATCGATTGACAAGGCAACGTTGTCTAAGAATAGAACAACGTGAAGGTCGTTGAGGTCTTCTGATAGTCTGCTGATGATTGTGGGACATCAGAGATCATCAGCAGACCTTGGTCGATGTAGTGGCGCATCGTCAGTTGTTCTATGTTTACGCGTTATTGACAGCTGTTGTTGACGAGACAAACAATCACATCGGAAGGCGTATATAAAGCGATTTGAATTCGCGCACAGGTTGAATCACGCTATTCTCCTACTGAACTATAAAATGAAACTATCAATTTCTTCTTGTTGCAAAAACTCATTCCTCCTACTCCTTTGCGTTGGGGTTTTATTAACGCAAACATTAGCGAGACCAGGTAATCGTTTGTGGGTTACACAGCTTATTGACATATTTATTTACTTAAAAATTTATGTACTGCTTCGAAAGTTCCAAAGCGGTTCGTTTCAGCCGACAAAGCCGATGCAGCCGCCGAGAAAGCCGGGGAAGCAGCTCACGAAGCTGGAGCAGCTGTTTGTGAGTGCTTAATTTGTTCCAGTAAAGTTTCCTTATAAAGCCTTCAGTAAATCAATAGAAATTGTGACCCGTATAGTGTTTGAAGAAGAGTATTTTTCGTCTTTGTTGACGCTCTTCTGGAACTTTGAAATGTCCAATGCGTCTATCAACAAAAAGTTCATGGCAGCCCTCTCGAAGATCTTTATGGGTTGAGGTCAGGATAGTGGTGAAAGGACGAGTTCTTCCATCCACAGTGGCTCCTGTAATGCTGTAGCCGGCTAACCACATACTTTACCGATGGACCGGAGTGGGAAGGAGTTCCAGTTCCAGAGTTAAAGACCACAAATTTGTCTGTTGTCAGGATAATGGTGAAGCGTTCCTAATACTTATCTCTATATTGAGATAAGTCTAGGAGAAGCTTACATCACGCTGACGCAACTCCTCCCAACCGGGATATTTTCTAGGTCACCCCTATATATAAGGTTCGGAGTAGAGATGCAGTTCTCTATCAGCTTATCACAAGATTGCTGGCATAACTGAATGACGGTCTGCTGAACGTTTTAGGAATGCTTTTTCAGGTGTGACGAAGAAAGCCGTTTGGAGAACACCCGTCAAGCACTGTTTTCACCTACGAAAGATATAATAAGGACGAGGACGCGGCCTTAAGATGCATCAAGGTCCGAAAAAAAGCTTTGAATGGACGCACCAAAGGTGGTTAGAGTTCCTTGTGCAAATCGAATCCCTGGGAATGCGCTGCGTCCATTACCAGATTCACAATTGCAGAGGCATCTGAATGGCTTCTTTCTTGCAAGATGTCTTTCTGAAACTATCCTATACCGAGCTTTGTTATGCCTTAAAAGGTCATACACCACTAAGCAACCCCAAGGATTGAGCCAGGTTGGCATAGGATTGGGCTATTAAGCGAGTTCTCCACCAAGTATAAAGCTCATGTCGAAAATGCTTGCCTAAAGCGCTACTCTAAAATTCGCCTCGTTCCTCCCAATCAGTATCCCTTTTTTCAATACGTGTTCTGATGCTTAGCTGACCCTCACGCTAAATTTGTAGATTACTTCCACTTTAGCCCAGAGATTGCGACTTTAACTTCAATCTGGACATCACACCGTAGCAGAAGGTTGCCTGACCACCTCTTATAAGTCGCCAGTTCTTAATTCTGAGGAAGATCTATACAGAGTATTCTCTAAAACTTCGAGCGTCCATTTAGTGAAATTCGCTTGATTCAGTGCCTTGACCACTTCTTTTCAGCTGAAAAAGCCGGACATATGAGAGACGAAGCCAGTGAAGCCGCCGACAGAGCACGTGAACGGTTCGGTGAGTCTTATTTTCATAATTCAAAAGCAATGCTGCCGAATGGTGGGTATTCAGCCAGATCTATAAATGATCATGAAGGCCTTAATGTTCAAAAGCCAAGTTAAGAAGGGTGCGAGGCCTTCCCAAGTGTGGAAAGATGAAAGAAGTACTAAATTTTCGGGAACTCGCTTCAGGAAACCCAACTCAGTTATCTTGATTTCCTTGTTCCTTATGCTACTGCATACCGTTACGTATTCAATTATCTTGGTAATCTTGGCATATTTTGATCAGATGAGTGCTTGATTGTAGCCGTCCAAGATTAGTTAACTTTATTAGGCCAACGTTTCGGCAACTTCGCCTTCGTCAGAGCCTTAATGAACGCCGCCGTGACGCGAGGGCGACTACCCTCGAAGGACTAGGTTGAGCTTAACTCTAACTAACCTTAACTTATCTGGTAAATTACACGCTTTGCGCAGCCCATGGTA